GGTTCCAGTGATCACACTCTGATTGTAGGCTGTGGGGCAAATGCTTTACCTGCTTAGCCATCTGGAGATCCTGGTAACCTTGAATTTCTGATTGATCCTATGGCCAGCCTCCATCTCCAAAGTGTTAGAACTATAGGCATGTACCACCACACCTGGGTTATGCAGTGCTGAGGCTCGAGACTGAACTCTGGACTTCCTGTATGATCGTCAAGTGCTTTACTCCCAAACCCTCCAGGGAGTTTTCTGGGTATCTGATAGGGACAAATAATAAACATCTCATTCTCAGGGTACACTTCTGGGAGGAGAGACAGTGCTCAGAATACCGGTAGATTACATGGTGCTTGGAGGGCACTGAGGATGACAGTAAGTGAAGCTGAGATGTGCAGGTGGGGACAGAGATCCTTGCTCTCCTATCATGGTCAGGGAAGATGTCACAAGACCATGGCAGCCGTCTCCACCCAGACCACAAAGCCATTCCAGACACTGCCAGGAACATGAAGGTGAGGTTCCCTGATGGAAGGACAGTAAGCACAAATCCTATTGGGCAAGAGGATCCAGAACATTCCAGGAAGCAGCTCAGAGTGTCAGTTAGATGACAGCCAGAGAAGTAACTGGGCTGGTTATGAGGGTGGACAAATCCTTTGGGTGCTTCTAGGTCATTGGAGGGACTTGAACAGTGTGTGTGTGTGTGTGTGTGTGTGTGTGTGTGTGTGTGTGTGTGTGTTTTGCAGGTTCCTTGTGTACATTAGGTAAGAGCTCTACTGCTGTCCCCAGCTCTCTTTACCCTTCCCCCACCCCCTCAAGAAAGTATGTCTCTTGTATTGCTTAAGCTGGGGTCCAGCCCCTGGCAGAAACAGTCCTCCTGCCTCTCAGCCTCCCAAGTAGCTGAAACTCCGACACTGCCATCACATCTGGCAGACCTTGGACTCTTCATCTGAGGAAGATGGGAAACCAGGTCAGCATCTTAGGGATTTTAGTAGACATGCCAGCTGCTGGGCTGAGAACAGCCTGAAGCAGGAAGCCAGGTGGAGGCCGTTAATAACCCAGGTCAGTGTCGGTCTGTGAGAGTTCTCCAAGCTAATGAGGTATCTACATAAGTCCCACCTTGGATTCCAGATGTTGGTCTGCATTTCTGCCTTGCCACTGGGATGCTGGGCCACTGACATGTCACTCAGGAAAGGTGAAACACAGGGGCGACAGGCTGCACATCTGCCTTATCGCTGGGAACCGGAGCACCTCTGGAATGTTGTTCAGGGAAGGAGAACGCAGTCTAGGATTGGGGGGTCCCAGCCTGTGTTTCTCCGGGTGAGAAACAGTGGGAACTGGGACAGATGCTGTGGTTCTCAACCTCCTGTGTACCCACACACTGCCAACAACTTGGAGGAGTTGAGAATGGTGGTCTACAGGGCCGTGTGGAGCCAGAGACGTGCGGGTGGAATCTGGCTTAGTTCCGAGTGAGTGCCTAATGTGCTGAGGGGCTGGGTGCCCAGGGAGAGAAGCTCATTAGCTAAACACTTGCCCCTATCTAAATACCCCATTAGCATGGAGAACTCTAGGTTTTTATGCTACATGACCAGTTGTCACTGTCCTCTTAGCAGAGTGTTGTGGTCATGTGTTCCAGGAAAGGTAGTCTGGCCGGGGGCTGATTCTAATACCTACTTTTCTCAGTTATGAGATTTACCTGGGTTTTCGAATCTGCTTCGACCTTGCCAGTTCTCTTGTGGCACAGTTGCACTTCCCTCAAAGGCCAGAGCATGGTAGCTTGGACCACAGAGCTGAGGTGGGAGGAGAGACTTAATTTTGGGAACATTTTGAAAGTGGAACTGTGACAGACTCAGTCATTCCTTCATCCATACATTGGTTCCATTCATCTGGTGCCAAACACTGGAGATGTTAACTTGTTTGTTTTGAAACACAGTCTCATTATGTAGCCCAGGCTGGCCTGTAATTTCTGATCCTCCTGCATAAGTTTCCCAAATACTGGGTTAGAGGCATGCACTCCCATCCCCAGCTTTGGAGGTACAAACTGGAGTAAGAACAGACCAAGTCGTGTGTGTATTCTTTTCTTTTCTTTTCTTTTCTTTTCTTTTCTTTTCTGTTTTTGTTTTTCGAGACAGGGTTTCTCTGTGTAGCCCTGGCTGTCCTGGAACTCACTCCGTGGACCAGGCTGACCTTGAACTCAGAAGTCCACCTGCCTCTGCCTCCCAAGTGCTGGGATTAAAGGCGTGCACCACCACCGCCCGGTGTGTATTCTTTTCCTCCGGGGTACTAAGAACCTAAATATCAGATAGAGATAACTGATAAGCTGCCAAGGCATGAGCCAGAGGAGCAGCCCAAGAATGATTTCCCAGACATCCCTAAGGCTCACAGCATCCCCTGCTGGGTTGGCTGGTTTTATGTCACTTGTCACAAGCTAGTCATCAGTGAGGAGGGAGCCTCAGTTGAGAAAATGCCTGGTTAAGATGGACTGTGGGCAAGTCTGGAGGGCATTTTCTTAATTAGTGATTGATGTGAGACCCAGCCCATTGTGGGCGAGGCCACTGCTGGGCTGGTGGTCCTGGGTTCTATAAGCAGAGCTAAGCAAGCCTTGTGAGCAAGCCAGTATGTAGCCTCCTGCCTCCAGGTGCCTGCTCTGCTTGAGTTCCTGTCCTGACTTCCTTTGATGAACTGTGATGTGGAAGCGTAAGCCAAATAAATCTTTTCTTCCTCGAGTTGCTTTGGCCATGGTGTTTTATCACGGCAATAGTTACCCTGCCTAAGTCTCCTGTCTTCCTTTTTGATCCAGCTATCCTGCCACCAACACTCAGACTCACCACCGTGTCTCCAGCCTGGATTGGCCTGTGGCTCTCAGAAACTTCTTCTCTGTCATTCTAACCTATCCCTGGCCTTTGTCTCTGAATTTTCTGATAGCTTCTTTAGGCTAAGAGTATATTCTCCTTTCCGAGGAAGAGACTGACTGAGCTGCAGGCTTCTCTTCCTGTTTTTAAAATAAAAAATAAAAGAACTGGGTTTACCCTGTAGCCCAGGTTAGACTCAAACTAGAGGCAGTCTGACCCCCTTGGGCTCCTAAGTGCCTCAATAATAGGTATGGAGCACCATGCCTGGCCAGAGTTCTCACTGAGCCAGCGTTAAGCTTAGCATCCTAAGTCAGTAAAAATTTGTGCAATCAATTATAGAAGAAAGACTTTAGAAGAACTAGATTCAGCTAGATTAGCAGGCTGAGTGGGGATCCACGGGCTTGCTGTGGTTCCAAAGCTCCTTTGTAGAACTGTAAGTTCCCTAAACTCTAATGTTTTGGTTTCTTTTCCATACCCAACCACTGATGATGGCTCAGGCTTCTGATTCCATATAGCTGCAGCACAATTACCTTTAGTCAGACACAGAGTAGAACTGCTGGACATTTATCTTGCTGCCAGCAGCAGCACCTATGGAGTATGTTTCCCTCCGGGGCTTTGGAGGAGTCATCTTTCGGGACTCATAGTTTTAGGTGCAGACTGGCTCACACAGCACCCAAGGAGCCTGGTTCTTCCTTCCTCCCTCAGACACTGACAAGCCAGCACCCTTGGGCCAGCACGTCTTTCTGGCAGTTGAAGACTCTTAATTTGGACTTGGCTGTGGGGAAAGGTCAGCTTGGGGGCCAGCCTGGCTCTGGCCAAGCTCTCTAGTTACAGCCTGCGGCTCGCCTCACCTGCCCCTGTAATAGCAGCTTCTTCACGTGGCCACTGCAGCCTCAGCTGACAGGGCAGGCCTCTGCTATGCCCCTGGGCCTAGATATAGAATAAAAAGGTGATGGCTTCCCCTATTGCAGCCTTTCCTCTCCTTCTCCCTCTCCCTTATCTGATGTTCACACAGAGGTTGGCATCTCACTGAGGCCTACCTGCTCCCCAAACCTGAACTCATCCCTCATTCTCAGATACATCTGGTCCATGTGGATACGTAACCCCCACCCCCCAACCTAGATACTGAGTTCTGTTTATTGGACATAGGGAGGAAGATCAAGGATGGCCACATGATCTGAGCCAGCCAGGGCTAGATTGCAATACCTTTTTCTCCAAAAGTAAACAAATGCACACATACAGCAAAATGTCAGCTATGAAAAGGGTAGGTAACAGAGTGCTTGCCTGGCACGCATAGTGCTAGGTTTGATTTCCAGCACTGTATCAGAACCTGGCATGGTGGCACGTGCCTATTAATATAGCACTTGGGATATGGAAGCGAGAGGGTCAGGAGATCAAGGTCATTCTCAGCTACATAAGGAGTTCAGGGTTGGCCTAGGCCGTATGAGACCCTGCCTCGAAACTAATAATAGTAATAATAATTTAAAAACCCAATACGTCCTCTTTATCTTATTTATAGTAATAGAGGATGTGGCTGGCTCTGGGGACACAGTATGACGTCTAGGTGGTGGCTCTTTGAGCGTTGGGTGAAGACCCCCTGCCTGGCCTGAGGCAGTGCCTTGGACTACAGGAGTTGCCTGGGTTTTGGTTTTGGCTTTGAGACTAGATTTGAGAATAGAGGCTTTTTGCAAATCTTCTATCACTGGGCTATTTCTCCTTGCTGCCCTTTCTGGATGAAGAAGCAGGCCTCCTTCCTGGCAACTATTAGAGTCCCAGGACCATGCCTTCCATTCCCCCGGTGCCCACGAACTGTCTTTAAGGTCCTCCTCATTTCCAGACACAGCAGAAACTATGAGAGTCTCATAGGCAAGAGCCAGATATTTCCCACACAGAAAGCCCTGGGAGGGACCAAGGTGTTGAAGTAGCCACTGAGGACTGAGGAGCTTGGGCTGAGTGGCAGTGGCCCACGTGTCCTGGTTCCACTATTGTCACCAGTCTGTCTGGTGGCAATGTAGTCTTCTCTCACTCCTGGGATTATCCCTGTGTTCCAAGGAGGGCAGGGGGAACTTATACAGTCCTTATTCTAAGTCCCTACTCAAGGTGGGCAGAGTAAGGGGCCCACACTCAAGCTCTCCCCACTGAGAGGTTGTGGTGTTTCTGCAGGTCGGAATGAGCTGATTGCTCGCTACATCAAGATCCGGACAGGGAAGACACGCACAAGGAAGCAGGTGAGTCTGGAGAGGTCTCCCCAAGGGGAGTGGAGAGGCACCCACTTCTCTAGGTTCTCTGGTTCTTCTGTTTACTAGAGTCAAACTCCCTTTCTGGGGTACTAGGGGGAAAAAAAAAAGCAAATCATTTCCCCCTTGTGAAGTACTGCCAGACTCAAGGTGAACTGAGCAGGCAGCGTGATTCCTCCCCCCCACCCCGCTCCAGTCCGTTCACAAGTGTAGGCAGAGTCACGGAGGGCTAAGGGTTGGGGACACATAAGCTGTCTGGAAGGTGCAAACAGGAACTCTCTCTTTCTGCAACAGGTCTCTAGCCACATCCAGGTGCTTGCCCGTCGAAAAGCCCGGGAAATCCAGGCCAAGCTCAAGGTAAGGAAAACTGTCAGCAAAGAAAGTCAGCCCTGTGGATTCAGGGGCTTTCGCTGTGTTGAGCCTATGTGCTTCTTGCTGTTAGGGACAGTTGAGGTCTAGCCTGTGGCATCTGTGTAGAGCCATGTGTATGGATGGCAGTCTCCTGATGATCCCTACCTGGGATTTAGTGTGGAAGGGCCCAGACTCAGAGTTTCTGTCCCCTCTGTGTTCTCTGAGATGGGCAGTTCCATCTGCTCCATAGACGGCTCTCGGTGTAAGGTCAGCTGCTGATGGGTTGCCTCAGAAAGACAGTCCTCCAGGACTCTGGACCTATGCTATTTGGGTGAGCACTAAGAGGGGGTGAGCCTTCCATCAGGGAGACCCCCCCCACCCCCGTCCTTCCCCACCAAGAGTTTCTCTGTATATTCTTGGCTTTCTTGGAATTCACTCTATAGACTAGGCTGGCCTTGAACTCACAGAGATTCACTTGTCTCTGTCTCCTGATTCCTGGGATTAAAGGCATGCTCCACAACCACCTCTTATCCCATCACCTCTTATCTGACCTGGGCCCAGATTCAATCAGCAGAACCACAGCCCCCTCTGCCCCCTTGAGAAGCCACACTCACTGTCCTTGCACTTCCGTTCCTGTCCTCAGCCCAGCTATCTGACACACCCCATAGCTGTGGCTCGGCACCTCCATCCTTTGTCCTCAGGACAGCTGGCCTGCCTGCAGCTGTGGATCCCTCCCTGGAACACTTCCAGCCCTAAAGCCCTGCTTTTTCTCCATGTTCCTTCTCTGATCTGTCTCTGACACACTGGGGAGCCCAGGTCACAGCAGTGGGCAGAATAACTACATATGTCTAGAGTGTCTAAGGGGTGTTCACTTCCTTGGGACCTCTCTACCATGGATCCTCGCTTCAAGGCATCTTCTGTCTGCCTATAACTTGAGAGTCGAAGGCAGCCGTCATTGGCCCCTAGTCAGGCATCGAGAGGAGCCACAAACCTCTTAAAATGCCCAGATTGTCATGCATCTGCATCTTCCCCAGAGACTGGCCTGGGGACTTTGTCCTACTTTCAAGGCTTCCGGGACCACAGTTACTAAGCTCAGTAAGGTAGATGGAACTCCTTGGGCTTGGTTCTACCCCATCTTTGTCTCATGGCCCTGTCCTGTATCCTTCATGAGCACCGTTCACTATCCTCAACTACAAAATGTCAGGATGATGTGGCACAGTGACTGGTAATGTCCCCCTCAACTGGAAGATGCGTCACTCTTGGCTCTGCTGTCTGGCCATTGATGTCATCCTTACGATGTCCTTTCCACTTCCTTCTGCCTCTTGCCTCATGCATTGAGGATGTGGTTTCCTGGACCCTGTCATTTGTTTAGATTAAGGATACAGGAAGGGATACATGTTGTCGGCATGGAACAGATGGAGCTCTCTGGACTTGGGGTTCAGTTGTAAATCTCAACAGCCCTTAGGATATGGTCTGTCAAGTCACCCCAGGGAGAAGCCTGGGAGGGCTGGCCTAGAAGGTCTTTTCCTCCCAGAAGTACATGGTATCAGTTATCAGAGATGGCCTTTAAGAACAAGACTCAACTTTATCCACAGAAGGACAGTAGTTGAGGATGCCAGCAACAAACCTCACCCACTCTCTGCTTTCACAAGCAAGCATGTAGTGGGGAACAAGCAAGCACATGGTGTGGCTTCCGCGTGCTCTACAGTGAGCGCTGGCTGCTGCTGCCCTCTCTGTGCCAGCTCGCAATGTCTCAGTCATTTTTCCGAGAGAATAAAAAAAAATGTCTCAGACTGTGTAGTTATAAAGCATAAATCTGCATATGATTGTGTATGCCTATAGTCTTTGGGGTTTTTTTTTGTTTTTGTTTTGTTTTCTTTTATTTTTCGAGACAGGGTTTCTCTGTATAGCCCTGGCTGTCCTGGAACTCACTCTGTAGACCAGGCTGGCCTCGAATTCAGAAATCCGCCTGTCTCTGCCTCCCAAGTGCTGGGATTAAAGGCGTGCGCCACCACCCCCTGGCGCCTATAGTCATATCAGGAGGCTGAAAGATCTTGCAAGCCCAGGCATTTGAGAACAGCCAATATATAGGCAGACTGTCTTTTAAGTAAAGAGGGGAACTGGGCATGATGGTCCATGCGCATAATCTCAGTTACTTGGGAGGCTGAACCAGGAGGATCCATGTTCCAGATCAGCATGGGTACTCTAGTGAGACCCTATCTGAAAGTTTTAAATGAATAGGGGCTGGCGGTAGAGTATGGAGTGCTTCTATAGTGGAAGGCCCTGAATGCAAGCCTCAGCATCATGGAAAAAACGGGTAGGGGCCGTGGACATAGCTCCTGCAGGGTTAAGTGGCTGCCTAGCATGTTCAAGCCCTAAGTTCAAACTCTAGCACAAAGAGAAAAGGAGAGAAAGGTTTACAGACGACGGTACTGGAAAGTCGGGCAGGGATTAAGAGCGCTTGTTGCTCTTGCAGAGGACCTGGGTTCAGTTTCCAGCACCTACAGAGTCGCTGACGACCATCTGTAACTCTAGTTCCAGCGGGTCTGATACCTTCTTCTGGCTTCTGCAGGCACCAGCCATGCGCACACCGCACATGTGCGCACGCAGGCAAAATACCCACACGCAAAAAATAAATAACTAATAATGACAACGGAGAATAGATGTTTATGGGGCTCACAATCCGAGAACATTGGCTGCAGTATCTATTCGCCATCTGCGGGGCCTTCTTCCAGCATTTAAGCATGGAGAAGGGTGTCACCACACAGAGAGCAAGGCCAGACCAGTCAGTCATCCTCTCCTTGTAGGACCACTAATGCCATCAAGTGGACTCTCCTTCATGGCTTTGCTTGATCACCTTCTGAAGCTCTAAATAACCTGTCAACGTGTGAACACAGTGGAGCAGTCGAGGCCCAGCATGGACCACTGTCTTAAGTTTATCCCTGCCTCCTCCGTGACTCAGTTCTTCATAAGACAACCTCCTGATGCTCCACCCTCCCAGGGGTCAAAGTGTACTAGCGTTTCCCAAGATCCCACATCTATTTCCAGATTGTTCCTGAGTAGCTTCTGGGTGACTCCTCTGGGGCCCCAGAGCTATTCTATAGCCCGTCTTGGAGTTGCTGTGTGGAACTGAGGGAGAGTGTCCTGCAGATTTTTTAAACTACAGAGGTATCTGCCAGTCCCAAGGCAGACTTGGTTCTACCAAGTTCTCATTCACTAGGAAATACTGATTCACTAGTGTCTCCATTTGGTATAGATGGTAACTAGGGCCGCGGGTTCAATGGTAGAGCTCGTGCTTACCGTGCTTGAAGTTTGGGGTTCCGTCCTCAGCACTAGAAAGAAACAGAGAGGAGAGGGTAGGAGGCAGTGTGACAGATCAGGCAGGCAGCCTGGCATGCATAGTCTCTAGTCAGGTTCACCTGTCCCCAGCAGATGAGGAGACTGACCAGAGAAGCCAGGCCACCTGCTCAGTCACCAACACGTTAGTACTTCAAACTTCAACCTGGTCCCCAGCTCTGGCTGCTGGCCCTGGATAGCTTTTCTGACCCAGAACACCAGACCACACCTCCCCTGTGCCTGGTTGGTGGCCCTGCTCAGGCCCTCCCTTCCCGTGTCTCCCCAGGACCAGGCAGCTAAGAACAAGGCCCTGCAGAGTATGGCCGCCATGTCGTCCGCCCAGATCGTCTCGGCCACAGCCTTCCACAGTAAAATGGCTCTTGCCCGGGGCCCTGGCTACCCAGCAATCTCAGGGGTAAGTGGGGCAGCCCAGAGCAAGAGGCCAATACAGCTTTTCTTCATCCTTTCTTTTCTGCAGAGCAGAACAGTGGCCAATCTCGATTCCTGTCTTATGAGCCCTTCCAGGACCCATTCTAAAAGCACAGCACTGCCAGTGGTAGACCCTCTGTTTCTTCCTTAGCAGTAACACAGCAGGCCTTCAGAGAGAACAAGAGGCTGCTCTCACGAGCTGCCCGATGAGAACTGGTTTAATTTATAGTTGAGGAAGCAGAAGGATGGGAACTGAATCCCAGGGCTTTGATGTAGCAAAATACCCACCATTCATCCTTGTCTCTGCTCCTGCTCTGCATCCCTGGAGTGTTCATTCCGTGTGGAGAGCTGAAGTCTAGGGACAAATCTGTGCTCAGATTTCAACTTTGTCAGCCTAACAACCTGTCTCTGAGCCATGTCCCCATTGCCACACTTTTAGAATGTTCCAGAAACCATCTTCCTTCCCAAGCTTGTCATACTGCCTGAATGGCTTTTTAAGATGCCCCACTTGCACTGTCCTCACAGATAGGGAAGGGAGTATGTCTTGAACTCCACAGGTCTTTCCGTTACCATATTCCATCGAGGGTCTTAGAGAGTGTTAGCTGGGATGTTAAATAGACGGGACCTAAAATGATCGTGTAGACACTTGGATTAAATCATTCTTTTTTGTGCGTTCAAGATGGGAGCATACCTCGAGAGCAGGCTAAGCACACGCTCTACCACTGAGCCCCTCAGTAGACTTCTTGGCTCTAGAACCTCAGAGCCAAACATGCTTCGAGTCCTTACATGCTAAAGAGCCCTGTGACTCCTGATGGGAGGGAGAGAGGGCATGGTCAGCAGGCCTGGCTTTCCCCATGGGGCATAGAGAAAAACATACCTAGGTGTGGCTGCTGCCTGATAGCATCACCCCATTAAACAGAAGCATCAGCTGGTCTTCCTCCCACTGCTGGAGCTACCTTTCGTCCGCCTTTTCCACCCGGAGGCCTGCATGGTCTGTCCCTCACAGATTCTTCCCACACTGCTGGTGGGCTCTGGCCCCATGCACAACACAACTGTGCTGAGTCTATGCTTTTTGCCTCCACAGTTTTGGCAAGGAGCTTTGCCAGGCCAACCTGGGACATCCCATGAGTGAGTATGGTTTGCTTTCTCACCCCTCACTCCCTGAACTGATTTTGCACTCACAATCTTAGGAAACAGAGCCTAGCTAGGGGAGATGGGGAAAGGGGACATGGGCCGCAGTGTGCAATTAGCCTATTCAGGATAACTTTGCTCTCAGATGTCACTTGCTTAATCTGCAGTGTCCACACTCAGAGTGCCATTTGCTGACATCTCATCTGTACAGGGTGTAGATGGAGTTACAGCTTGATACCCAAAGAGGCATCAGATTGGCCCAAGAGAGGATGTGAGGTGGGCTGCCTCAATAGATATACTGCTTCTGTGATTCAAACACAAAGCCTGGGGAAATTGGCAGGGGAGGGTGCTAGAAACCCATGTCTTCTAAGGCCTAAGGCCACCAGTGGCCGAGCAACCGGAGCTACTCTGTAGCTTTTCCCAGAGCCTGACACCTCCTCTCTTCTTTCTCCTGCAGTGTGAAACCTTTCTCTCAAAATGCCTACACTGTCCAGCCTCCGCTGCCTCTGCCAGGTAGGTGGGTGCTGCATGATCCTCTTATATGTCATACATGTCGCCTTATATGTCACACTCTCTGCCTCCTGCCTCAGGTCCCAGGTCCCCAGCACTCGGGTCCTGCTCTTATCACTGCTAGGCACCATGCTGCCATGTGTTCAGATCATACAGCCCAACTTTCTGGCTATCCCACGGTTCGTGCCTCTAGTCAGCATGCTGCATCCATGCCTCATGGGTGCTACATGGCATTCTGGGGTGACACCAGATGCTGTCCTTGCCGTTGTCCCCGTTGTGCTCAGGGCTGGCTGGGACACAGAATCGGAAGGAAGTGCTTGTGTGCCCAGTCACTCTTGTAGGGTACATGTGCTGCTGGATCTTTACGCCTTCCCCTCGGAGTGCTACCTACCGCTGAGGGACACTGGGTTCTAAGCCTCATTCTACCTGGCACAGGAGACCCTGGTGCCTGAAGAGTATTGATACCTAAGCAGCTTGCTGGTTTGGGCCCTCCCCCAGGCTTCAGCTCTGAGGAGGTTTCCTCAGCCCTTTCCACACTGCAGTACAGGCCAGGGGTTTCAGCCTTCTTTGGAGAGTGACCAGCTGTTCCATTCTGGTGGTGGCCCCTCAGGCTTTCCTGGCACCCCTGGTGCCCGCTCACTGCTTCCTTCACCCACATGTGGAGCATCTCTGAGTTGGGTCCAGTCCTCATGTCTGTCGTCTTTTCTGTTCTCTTCCCTCTGTCCACGCTGATGCAGTCTGCACTCAGATCCACCTAATTCTTGCCTGGATTGCTGCAGTCACCTCCTCACTGGCTCCCTGTGACTCTCAAAGCATCTCTCTGATTACGCTATTTCCAGCCTTAAGATGCTTCCAGGCCCTGTGGTTCCTTCTGTAGTCATCTCTGAGCTCTGCAGAAGATCTTCTGGACTCCTGAGACTCAGCTTACTGTGCTCCCTGGTCCTGTCCACAGTGCTCCCTGCTCTGCCTCTGGGCTGTGGCTAGAGTGCTCCTCCTGGACCACTCACCTGGATCGTACCCAGGTTAGGTGCCCAGTGTTTTCCCAGCCAGGGTTCTGCAGACCTCTGTCTATCAGGGGTGTTCTTCACTGCCATTTCTATTTGTACTCGGATAATGTATCTGCATATCCTTGTTCTGTTCTTACACTATGCACCCATTCCTGGGTGCCATGGGGCTAAAGGAAGGAAGGAAAAGATTCGATGGATGTCCTAAGTACAGGCTGGTGTGTTCACCATGGCTGTCTTCTTTCCTAGACTAGTCTTGCTTGGTCTCCTCTTCCTTTTGTTTACCCTGTGCTGAGTCCACTGCTTCTGCCCAGGGTGCTAGAGGACAGCAGCCTCCCAGAAGGAAAACCTCAATCCTGAAGGTCTTGCCTCTACCATGTCTCCCTCTGTCCTACCCTTCTTCTACAATGGAGAAGGAATGAAAAACTGCCCAGCTCAGCCAAGGAGCTTGCCTAGATTGTGATCTGCATCAAAACCGTAGCTTCCATTTTAAATGGAATAAGGGATGGTTTACTCTGGAGCCATCGTGAGCACGACCTGGGAACACAGATTTAGGTTACCCCAAATTCCATGTTCCAACGTGGAAACGGGTTCACAGGGGTTTTTATATTTTTACTGGACAAAGAAAGTCATGAGTCAAGACAACTTTAAAATACTCAGGTGGATACACCAGAGAGGCAGGGACAAGATATGGGGAGCTATTCTACAGGTCTAAGATGCTCTGTACTGGCGCTCTTAGCTCTTGGAACAACAGAAGCTAGTGTTCTGCTAAGCTAATAGCTTCTGAGAGATTTCTATTTATTAACACGTGGTATTAGTTCAGATACAGAGTGTAGGAAGGAATGTCTGTTCCAGAAGACTACAAAATAAAGTAATTAGCCTCTGAAACAATAAATTCCAATTTCTCCATGGTACTGACATTCCAATTGGCCCAGCAGTCTCTGTAGACACAGAAACTCCTTCCAGGAGATTTTTGTTCCCAGCCAGACACAGCTGCTTTTCAGGAATGTTTTTTTGGTTCACAGTGCTTGCTCCAGGCAGGGTTCCATCCCTCGTATTACCAGGAAGGGAAAAAATTGCAAAGCTGACCGTTTCTCAGCTCAACTTAACTCAGCCAATGGCTTTCCTTGTCTTGGGAATAGAATCCATCCTGTTCGGCAGCATTTCTGGCTGACTACAGAGTCTCGTTTCCCACTCTCAATCCAGAAAGCTCTTCCTTAAACTGTGGCTTTCCAGATTCTGTCAGCTGGTTCCCAGGCCCCACATACTTGCCTTTGTTGGTTCCCAGCTTGGAGCACCCCTTCTCCACACACATCTAGACTCTCATGCCCCTTTCCCTGCATTCCTCCTCTCTCCTTCAGCTCTGTAGACTGGGCTGGACTCGAACCCACAGCGTTTTGCCTGCCTCTGCCTCCTGAGTGCTGGGATTAAAGGTGTGTGCCACCACTGCCCTGTTACTTAATACCTTCTTTAAGCCTCACCTTTTTGATTGGCCTCAGGGGCACCAAGAAGTTTTCTGTGGTGCTGGGGGCACACTTCATCAACACTAGCCCAGGTCTGTGGTCATTCCTTAGAAATCTATGTTGTAGGTGGTACTCTGTGTTTGAGGTAACTGTGAGCCTTTCAGAAGACTTCCTGCTTCCAGGGCTTCTGAGTTAGTGTGGGGTTTGGTTCAGCTGGCTAATTCCTACTTGGACTAGAAATTACCCTAGGGCAAGAATACTGCAGTTCCGGCCCTAGCTGCTTTCCAGGCAACCTGGGCTGTTGAGAATCTGTCCACCTTGTGCATGGGCCTGTGCAGAAGCTTGGGACCACTGAGCTGGATGGGGCACAGGCTCTGCCCTGCCACTGGGCACACTTTCACTGGTTTTGTCAAGTTCTTATTGATGACATGAGCAGGGAGGACAAGGAGAGGCAGGTTCCATGCATCTCTCTCCCCTCCTGTAGGCTTTGAGTCGCCAGCAGGACCCGCCCCATCGCCCTCTGCACCGCCAGCTCCTCCATGGCAAGGCCGAAGCATAGCCAGCTCCAAGCTCTGGATGTTGGAGTTCTCCGCTTTCCTGGAGCGCCAGCAAGATCCCGACACAGTAAGTCCTCCTATGCCTGACTGTCGAACTCCAAGTAATCTCAGAGGTTCTGCCACCATTGTAGGGCCCCAGTCTTGCAGGCCCAGAGTAAGTCACCAACCCTGGAAGTCCTGCCCCCACAGAAGACTTTACCTTCCACCCTCTCTACCTCCTTTGGCTTCCTTCTTTTTCTTCCCTTTCTCCCTCAGGTCTTAATAGAATCCTCGTTTTTTTCTTTTCCCCTCGACTGTTCTCTGTGTTGTCATCACTCCCCCCACCACCACCCACATTCTTTTTTTTTTTTTTTAATATTTATTTATTTATTTATTTTATTGATGAGTACACTGTAGCTGTCTTCAGACACACCAGAAGAGGGCATCCAATCTCATTACAGATGGTTGTGAGCCACCATGTGGTTGCTGGGATTTGAACTCAGGACCTCTGTAAGAGTAGTCAGTGCTCTTAACCACTAAGCCATCTCTCCAGCCCAGCCCACCCACATTCTTTACTCAGTTCTTTCCCTTGCTTTCTGTATATCTCCCACCTCAAGCCTCCCTGGCTTCTGTTCTCCCCTTCTGTTCCCTCAGGCTTCTCCCCTGGCTCTTATTTCTCTTCTTATTCTAGTGTCCTTTCCTCCCAACCCTCCCCCTCCCCCACTCCTTAGCTCTGAGGGGCGCTCAGGAGGCTAGGATGACTCTAGTGTGGAATCCATATCATCTGAGACAATAGCAAGGTACAGCAGGTTACCCCTGACCCAGCTCATCTAGCAGGTAGTGCTGGGGGACCCCTAATCCTTGCCTTAGGTAGGGTTTTACTGCTGTTTAGAGACACCATGACCAAGGCAACTCATAAGGACAACGTTTAATTGGGGCTGGCTTACGGATTCAGAGGTTCAGTCCGTTATCATCAAGGTCAGTGTCCAGGCAGGCAGGCATGGTGCAGGAGGAGCTGAGAGTTCTACATCCTCATCTGAAGGCTGGTAGTAGAAGACTGGCTTCCAGGCAGCTAAGACGAGGGTCTTGAAGCCCAAACCCACAGTGACACACCTACTCCAACAAGCCCACACCTACTCCAGTAGGGCCACACCTTCTAACAGTACCACTCCTTGGGCCGAGCATATATAAACCGTAACACCTCCCTTTTCTGAATGAGGAAACTGAGGCCCACTCAGAGAGATAAAGTTATTTGCCTCAGGTCGTAAGTACAGTAGGCAGTTGGGCTGTCTCTACCCCACCCTCTGGGTATCACTCTCAGATGGATTGTTCTTCTGTCGACAGTACAACAAACACCTGTTCGTGCATATCAGCCAGTCAAGGCCAAGCTACAGCGACCCCTACCTCGAAACTGTGGACATCCGCCAGATCTATGACAAGTTCCCAGAGAAGAAGGGGGGCCTCAAGGAGCTATTTGAACGAGGGCCCTCTAATGCCTTCTTCCTTGTGAAGTTCTGGGTAAGCCTTGGGCCTCTCTTCTCTTCATTCAGTGGTGAGGAGAGCAGGAAAGAGAAGGCATGATGGTGTGTAGGAGGCAAGGGGGGTGTGGGGGGCCATCAGGAGGGAGCACACACAGGAGATCACTGCTTGTAGAAGCATGACATCAGAATATGTTTGGCAGGCCATAGAGCTGCAGGATGGAAGGCCTTTGTTTCCTTTCTTCCTCCCTCCTTTCCTTGTCCTGTTTCTTTCTATGCCGGCTGTAGATAGCACTGCCTCTAGCATACTAAGGTATACTTCCTGAATCCTGTCCGAGCTCTAGAGGCTCTTCTCTGATGGTGGCTGTGGCAGGGTCCTGGTCAGGAACTGGAGCATTAAGGAGGCAATCGTTCTGGGGGAAGACTGAGAGGTGACACAGGGCTGGGAGGAGATTCCGCATGGAGCTGTTGGTTCTGGGCTTGATGCTGGTCCCCACCTGGTTGGTTCTTCAGGGCTCATCTGTGAATCCTACTGGGCTCAGCAGAGCTGGGCAAACAGGAGTATGGCTAAGGCTGTCTCTTAGTGCAGCCCAGGCCACCCTTAAGGAAGTACTCATGTCTGTTTCAAGCAGTCCCGTCCACAGGCTTGGCCTCTGCTGCTCTCCTTGTCCCTCCATGGATGTTGGGTACCTTGAGCCGGCCCATGAGATGCTCTACTCTGACTCCGTGGATGTTGGGTACCTAGAGCCAGTCCATGAGATGCTCTACTCTGAGATCAGGAGTCACAGAACTGCCCACAGCTTTCTTCCAGGGCCTATAACACACAGAAAGGACACCGAGGACACCAGGACAGTGGCCAGTAAGGGCAGGAAGTCCTCCAGTGACCTGACTGAACTTCAGATAGGTAACTTTTCCCGTATCTGACACCAGGCCCGGGATCCAGTGCTGATTCTTCCTGTTCCCTGTGGTGCTTTCCTTTGACCTACTTAGTTAGCAGTGCTGGAGCACCCTCTATTTAGTTGCTTGGTTTTTTAATTTTATGGCACTGGGGTTGGAGCCCAGGACATCGGCCTTGGTAGACAAGTGTTCCACCTTTGAGCAGCACCGCAGCCCTGCCTGCTGGCTCCTCTTTCTACTTCCGCCCCAGCCTAATTTGCTCCTGAGCCTCTTGGTAATCTGGGAGTCTCTCATCTTGGAAAGAACATGTTGACAGTGAAGGTATGTACCATATTCTAGGTGGCTTTCAGACTCTGCTTAGGAAAGCCCAGCCCTGCCCTCCCTACAGTTAAGCCAGTTCCTGGCTCTCAGAGAAGACTCCAGTGCCGTGTTAGAAACCCGGGGCCTTACTTTGACAGTGTGTACTTTTGCCCTGTGATTGCAGAAATAGCTGGTTTTCCAAGCAGGTTGGTGCTGGATCAGGATTTGAGGTAGGCAGGATCTGCCAGGCAGAGAGGAGGAAGGCCATTTTCTCCCTAGCAAGGGATGAGTAGAAACAGGAGAAAGAAGCAGGGACATTTGGAGGAAGGTACATGAGACAGAATAGTAGAAAATAGAACAGTTAAGGTGATGGTCCTAGATGGTCCTTAAATTAAATTCTAGGGTTTAATTAATGTGTATAGAAAATAGGCAGAGAGAGAAAGAGAGAGAGAGAGAGAGAGAGAGAGAGAGAGAGAGAGAGAGAGAGAGAGGAGAGAGAGGGAGAGAGAAAGAAGAGAGAGGGAGCGTGTGTGTGTGTGTGTGTGTGCGTGTGTGTGGTGCTTGCTCTACCATTGTGCTATATAGCATTCCATTGATCGTCTTAAATAAGTGTGTTTATAGTTATTAATTCCGAGTCTTTCATAAGTAAGGAAAAGCATCTGATTCTTGTGCTGATTTCTTCCTAAGTCCCAGAGTGGTGAACTGCAATGTATGTTCCTTTAGGTTTTATATCCTGCGTTAGTAAACTTTTATGTTGCTGTATCTTGATGTCATGGCTAAGGCATTCTAGATTTATTTTATTATAGAATGAAACTGTGCTTTACATCACTTTCCCATGACTCCAGTGGACTCCCACGGAGCGAGTCATAGATCCTCGAGCCAAAGCCACACGATGTTTGCACTTTGTCTGACAATGTACTTCGGCCACCCAAGAGCTGAAGACTATATTAGGACTGCATTTCCTTTATGATGTACTTTTTCTTTTTCCTATATGTAAATGGATTTGTTTTTTGTAAACTGGGTATTTTAAATGAAGTTATTCCTAAAATTTTACAGATTGCTCCATGAGAACCACCCTTTAAAACTGCCTCGGCTTCCTGGGTTCTGGGATTACAAGTGTCCACCATCCCATCTAAAGTATGGTGGCCATCTATAAACACATGGCTCTCCTGTCTTCTGCTGTACATGCCTAATACCATTCTGCTTCGCTATGCATAGGGAATTTTATGATCGCCTTTTTCCTCTCTGGAAGTTTTTAATACCTCCTCGATTTCTTTTTTTCTTTTCTTTTTTTTTTTTTTTTTTTTTTTTTTTGGTTTTTCGAGACAGGGTTTCTCTGTGTAGCCCTGGCTGTCCTGGAACTCACTCTGTAGACCAGGCTGGCCTCAAACTCAGAAATCCGCCTGCCTCTGCCTCCCAAGTGCTGGGTTTAAAAGCGTGTGCCACCACCACCCGGCTACCTCCTTGATTTCTGTGTTTTTCAATATCTCATTGATGATCTTTGGATTGTATCGTGTCTTTCTTCCCATCTTTGGCTCTATGCTTGGTAGGCACCTTTAAATATAAGATTAGAGTCTTCCTATTTTGGGACATTTATGTGTGTTATTTCTTTGAAAATTTCTCTCATTCATTTTGCCAAATCCCTAATGCTACCCTACCCCCTGGCTTATTCTCTTTTCTTTTTGCTTTATTGGGAAATAATAGGGGAGTTGAAACTAAATCTCACTGTATGGTCTAGGCTGGCCTGTGACTCACAGTATGCTCAAACTTGTAGTGATCCTCCTGTCTCAGCCTCCCAAGTGTCAGGATTATGAGTCATCAACGTGTTTGTGTGTTGTGTGCCTCTTGTTGTCCTGGAGATCACTAAATAGGCTAGGCCAAAGCCCCAAGGCTCTCTCTCCTTCCTCCCCACCCCCAGCTGGGATTCCACGAGTGGCCCTGAGCCTGGCTTTTCTTCGTAGATTCTGAGGGTTGAATTTAGGCTCTCTCATTCTTGCAAGGCAAGTTCCTCAGTTACCATTTTTATATTTTCCAGTTTATTTTCTTGGTTTCTTTTCCTGGAGACTTACTTCTTTTGTCTTCTAATTTGGCTTAGTTCAGAGTCATCTCCAAAGGCCAAAGCATCAGTGCATAAAGCAGTGGTTTTCCATTCATGTAGAAGCCTGGTGGTAGACTCTCCAAGGATGGTCTGAGTGCTCTGTAGCCTGAGTCCTCCCTCCTCGCCCTCCTCAGTGTGTGGCTTCTGTCCTCAAGGTCATGGCCACTGGAATTCCAGCCATTATCTCCACATTGCAAACATTAGGAAAGAATCCTATGTGGCTCCCCGTGGTCTCCTTTCCAAAGTTCTATACTGGGTGTCATTATTTGTATGGCTGTACCTTGCTCTGATGAACCAGGGAAATGTGAGCTCTGGCAGCTTTGCTGTGGGTTTCAGTTAGCGTCATTGTGGTAAAAAAGCAGCCTCCAATTTCTGGTGTGTTTAGGGGGAATCCTGGGCTCTCCTCCAGAGTGAGTTAACTAGTGGTTCTCTTAGCACTGGCCCAGCTGCCCCTCAGATGGGATTAGAGTCAGAAGGGAGACCCACTGTTTATCAGTACACTGCCTTGGAAGACAAGGCATATTTAGGGTCCTTCTCGCCAGCTACTTTTTTTTTTTTTTTTTTTTTGGTTTTTCGAGACAGGGTTTCTCTGTATAGCCCGGGCTGTCCTGGAACTCACTCTGTAGACCAGGCTGGCCTCGAACTCAGAAATCCGCCTGCCTCTGCCTCCCGAGTGCTGGGATTAAAGGCGTGCGCCACCACCGCCCGGCTCGCCAGCTACTTTTAGCTGATAGTTTCCATATATATACAATGTGTGTGTGTGTGTGTGTGTGTGTGTGTGTGTGTGTGTGTGTGTGTATGTACGTACGTACGTACGTACATGTGAGTTCTGGGTATATGATCCCAGGGCCCTGCCTGTGCCAGGCAATCCCTGTTCAAAGCATGCCAGGTAAGCCCCATATAGCCGAGCTGCGTCCTGGTGCAGTTGGCAGCAATAGTTTTTATCTACACACACGTTTCAAATAAGGCTCATCTTAGGATCCCTGTTTCACAAACAGTAGAAACTGATGCATCGTACAGACAAGGGCTTGGGTCTGAGACACACTTCCTTGGCTGGATCACCGTTCCTGTGGCCATTTTCAGTCTACTCAGGGAAGACTGAAAGATCACAGGAGCACTCACGTTGTGAGGTCACATGGATTCTCATTTGTGACTTTTGCCACATCTTCAAAGGCGGATCTGGTCGACAGTCTTCAGAGGAGAATCTGAAGCATGGTTAGGATTAACAGTTTTACTAGACTTAACCCAGTCTGCTATAGAATTAGAACCAGACTGTAGACCTCAACAGTATGACTCCGAGGTCAGGCACGACACCTCCCATACAGAATGCCCCCAGGCACGGCTTTGGCGCTTATTCTGGTCCTGGGGAAAAGCTCTGGATTGTTTGAAAGGCTCTGAGGGATGCCGTTGGTAGCAGAGCAGACTTAGCTGTGACTGTACAGGCAGCAAGGGGAGCAAATCGGGCCGTTTGATTTTCTAGATCTTAACCTTCCTCCCAGGAAATGTTGGCAAAGTCTTCCAGGTGGACATGAACTAGAGCCCCCTATACTACCTGTTGGGCCCATTTACTCTTTTGCCTTCCCTTAGGGGACATGGGTAGGGGACACTGATAGAAGAAGCCGGTGTGGGGACAGCTGGGATGCCGGAAGTTTGACTGGGCAGGTCCCACAGACATGCTTGGCCAGGGCTGTATAAAAACCCCACATGGCCATTGCCTTTTAGCAGCATGGACTCTGGGGAAGACT